TCATCTTGATGGATTTATTAAATTAGCTCTTAAAGTTACCGGACATGACGTCAAAAGGAGAATTTTGTTGCAATGATACAAAGGAAAACTGATTTGCAATTCTCCTTTTGACGTCATGTCCGGTAACTTTAAGAGCTAATAAATCCATCAAGATGAAATTTTTCAATAACAAAAATATATTGCAAAGTGTCTTAAAATACCCTAAACTTTCGAGATATGCAAACTCCAAAACCCTGATATAGGCACTTTAAGCTATAATGATATATTTTGTTCTTCTTTTCTGGATCAAAATTTAGTCTATAGCTGGAAACATTAAGGTTACAGGACATCCTTTTTGGCGTTTTGCGGAAAATCGCTACTGCGCGCTCAATCCAGGTGATCTTGATACGCGGAAAAGTACTGGCACTAGTTGTCAAATAGAAATCCATTTTATGATTGAAACAACTGAATATCTCCTGTAATATACTTTATTTCGATTCCATATTTTTGTCAGAGCTATGGTTCTCATAAGCAAACATAATTACAAAATTTCAACTAGTTTCATAAAGAATAATGAAAGATATAATTGACTGAATACATCAAAATGGATTTCTATTCGGACAACCCTTTCTGAGCGCTGATTGGCTAAAATACGAACACGAGATCACCTGGATATCAGTCCAATTTTCATCAAATTTTCACCAAATGTTCTCCAGTGCATGCAAAATATGGTAAAGTTGTAAAATGAACAAACAATAAAATAATGTAAGAATTATTCAGGAAAATCTTAAATCGCGGTACCGTTACGCTTTTGAGTTGTGCTCCTGCTGGTTTTAAGTTATATTTATGAAAATATCATTTTTATACAGCAAAATAGTTGTTCTAAAAAATTGTGTTCGGAATTTTTCGTTTATTTCGTCATTCCGCTGATATGGCGATTTCTTTGACGACTGCAATATATTTCTGAATTGTTTGAGTGAATTGCTCTTTATTTTTAAAATATCCAAAATTTAAAAAAAGCCGAACACAATTTTGAAACTGACGTCTTTAGCTATGTCCTGTGAAAATTTGAGAAAAATTGGTTAAAACCCGCAGGAGCACAACTCGTTTGAAAATCAGTAATTACCGTAAACTTTTTCGGAAGAAAATTGAATTTGAATATTACATTTTCAATGTTTTTCTTATTGCTGCGAAATGTATTTTATTAAATAACTCTACGAGTTTTCAACATTTTTCGTTCAAACTTGGTCAGATAGTAGAACTAGTCTAATGCTTTCATGGAAACCAATAAAAAATTTTAGGCAAAATTAACACTCAAAGGTGTTCTGTAACCTTAATTCTAAGTATTTGGGCAAGTCTGTTGGTCTCAATGGTTTCTATGGTTTTTGCATGCAGTGCAAGTGAAATAGTCAACATCACTCACTCGTGAACGAAGTTTAAATTTCTCTGCTTGCGTCTGTCTAAGATGTTTCAACTGTTTTCTAACCATGGACAGTTTACAGTTCATGATCCAAGATATAGCGATCACCCCGGCCGCCCATTGACGCTGACGATGGATTAGGTACGCGGCTCTGTCGCAGAAACGTCGCCAAGTAGACTGTGGAATGAGAAGAAAATACATGTATCAAAATAAGTATAGGTAATCATGCGATGACGAGTACAATTAGGGATTAATAGTACGAGTGATGTTTGGAAATTTTGCCAAATTTCCAAAATTGCGGCAAATTTCCAAACATCACGAGTACTATTAATCCCTAATTGTACGAGCAACATCGCATGATTACTTGTTTATTATTAGCATGACAAAATTGGATAC